AAGCGCAAATACTACCAAGTTTCGTGTGCAAACTCATGTTGCTTGATTTCACAAAACCGGATATATTGGAAAACGATGACTTTAAACGTTTGGTCAAGTACGAGGTCCTTTGGAATTTTTCCCGCTATCATAGCAGCATACAGGACACACCCGTGTGGAAAACTCTGAAGACACGTGCAAAGACAGACAAAGGCACTTTGATCGAACGTTTAAAGCAGGCAACTATTGTCAAAGCAACAACGCCATGGCAAGTAAGAAAGGTAATTGAATATTATTCGACCGAAGAAGACTATTTGATTATAAGCGCATGGGCAGACTATGTTTCCACGCTCGATTTCCAGCCTCTTGATTCGAATGTGGCTACCATATTTGTTACCATTTATACCGCCTCTGAGCTAGACTCATTATTTGAAAATGTATTTCACATATTGGAGGCTGATGAAGAAGATGGTGCGATAAGGTATCCGCTACTTAATTCTGTGACAGATGCAGAGCAGAAGCTCGCTACGTTGACGAACTCACTATTCAACGAGATTTTAAGATTTTAGTTTCCGGCAAATTGGGTCAAACGAAAGTGAATGAGCTGCAAGAAGCACCTACCATCTCTTTCTTAGTTTCCAACAGACATGTACTTCGATGCACATGCATCACCTATCACCTACTACTTTGTCTACAAAATGCGATTATTGAAATTTTATGGAAACTTTGACGCTCTAGGCGATTAATTACGTGGAAGCACCGACAAATAGACAGTTTGCATACTTCTTATCCATAAGCGCGCGTAGCGTCTAATAGCATCAACAGTAGGCATTCAATTAAGAATCGATATGTTGGCGACTGTGTTGGTGACAACTCTAAATCCTGATGCACACGTGTTGTCAACTTTAATTGGAATCTGTTGATCGATACGTCTGACCTCGTCGACTCGTAAGAGTTTTGGCCGATCTTTCGTGGTCAATCTATGCCTCCACCTTGCCGCATCTTTAATGTATCTTTCTGCACTTTACTGACTATTGAGAAGATGGCAAAAACCGAAGTGAATATATC